CAATATTGAGAAATAATCTGAGGTTTGAAGTGAAAAAGTAATACCGTTTTTGAATAGCTGTGAATTCATGTAGAGAATACCTTTTGATATGAAAGAGTATTCATTAGAAAGCTTTAATGGAGTACTTTCATTTTAGTCTAACAACAAAGTTCGAGTTTATTATAAAAATCACAAGATATTTTAAAAAACTTCATGTGACACGAATTTCGAATTTATTTTCACATAGAAAAGCAGCCTCAGGAAAATGTCACACGACTAATAGTGTGCAAATTCCTTGTGAGCATAGTAAAGTACATGTTTTAAAAAAGAATAGAACTCTACAACAAATATTTTTTTTGAGAAAATCTCTCTATTACATTAAAACTAAAGACATATTCTATCGAATAATAGAGCTATTTTTTTAAAAGTTAGGACAGAAAGTGACTTCTATACTTTTAAAATTTGCCTAAAATTTAGGAGGTCTTTAGACCAAGCCAACTATACTTGTGGATTTTTTATGTTGATCATTTATATAATAATTTCCCCCGTTTATTATAGAAATGTCGATCATTTCACTGTTTCATAAGTGGATCACCAATTAACTTTTTCAAATAGAAACAATAGCTTAAAAGCAGTAGCAATAGTCTGAGCATGAGAATGAAGACGAAATGGTAATAAATGGGAATATAAGAAATAAAAATGTTATTTTTTGTTTATATAGACATTATATATACAGGTCACTCCCGTTATAAGGACACTCATGGGACAAGCAAAAAAATGTCCATATAACAAGATGTTCTTATAACAGGAGTTCATAAGAAATCACATGACTTAAAAAATGATTATAAAATTTTTTTAGAAATTATTAACTTATTTTAAAATCAACAATTTAGCAAAAGCTTATAATTATAATCATTAATGATTAAAAGGTTTAGAAAAAAATGGTTTTAAAAATTTGCAAAAATTTTTAGTTAAGTATTGGATAATTCATAATTCTTTTATAGTCTTGTTTGAAAACATTATCAAAAAAAAGACAATTGTGAATAAATTTCTTTATTGTCAAAAATGTAAAATATTTCATCACTGTAAGTATTTCATCATCATCAAAAAAAACAATAAAAAGAGATCAATCAAAAACGTAAAGATACTTTGTTACAATTCACAAACCCATTCTTGAAAATAATAGATACTTTGTCACCACCAAAACAATTTGCGAATTGATTATTGTTAGTGTTAATGATAATAAATCTGATGTAAGTAATTTGTGTTTAATGTGTTTAGTATTAGTAATAAAAACGTAAATAATTAGCTATCTGATTTTGTCATAGTGATTTGAGTGATTTGATTGGTTCTCTCGTTGTACTGACATGTCCTTATGGTGGATGTCACTAGTAAAAAGAGAACCAATAGATTATATATAAGCAAAGAAAGATGGGACCACAAAAGAATTTTAAATCATGCACAAACATAACAGCTTGATAGCTTGATTAAAATAGTGGTGCAGTCTTGCAATTTTTTTATTGTATATATTAATCATACGTTTTTAACAAAACAAACATGACTTAGCTATTTAATCATTTCTTTGTATGTGAATGCCTCCATCCATCAAATATTCATGGTGGTCATAATTATTATGCAATATGTTTGATATCATCATTGACATAACAAACAATTGCATCATGACAGTAATGATACCAAGGCCATGCATAAATAAAACTTTTAATAATGCGTGTCTACCCAGATCTCTGGGATTCACAAAATAAATTATTCTTCCTGATTATCAATTATGGTTGCTCATGAATAATAAATCTGATATTGATTGCAGGTGTCTGATTTAATTAAATTTTCCTATCACAAATATGCAAATCGGTACAATTAAGTACTTTTCAGCACCATGGAATTTTCTTTCCACAGGTGAAAGCTCCCTGAACATATTGGAAGGCTTTGGACAAAACATTCCCTTATCATCCATCAGACCAGGCTTGGAATTGATCACTGATAGCTGGTGCTTGTGCAATAATTGCTTTGTGTTATCACCCCCTCTTACTAGAATAAAGTTGGTACCTTCTCCAGCTCGGAAGTTTGCAACCTGGGTTGCTGTTTTGGATTTTCCCTGAATTTGGAGTTTTGAGTCCTGGGTTGTTGTCTTGTCAGCGGCATGCCTACTCACCAACAACCCTACCCCCATTCAAAAAACAAGTTCAGTTGGTCAAATAAAAATTAAAGAAAAACAGAGTATTTATGAAAATGATTAATTTATAACATAACATATCAAAATCCAAACGATTTTATGACTTTTTCTCATCGGCCACATTGCTGACAAAGATGTATATAATCATGTGATAATTTTAACCTACATGACAGGGGACTGATTGGGCAAAAACCCCTTAACCAAAATTATTAAATTGGTTAGTATCAAACAGAGCATTTATGAAAATGATTATACAAAACAGACACTATTTTACAACTTTCCTCAGTCCAAATGCAATTTCAGGGCCATCAACCCTGCTCTGAATTGTAATCTCTTGGTGCTTGAAACAAGTTGCTGATTCTTGTTGCTTTGATGGATCTAGATATTTACATGGCACTACAATTCATCAACAGAGTTGCGAATTGGTCACAGAGCCATCCTTGCCCTAGAGGTGGGATCATTGCAGGCAACTTTTCGGCCAGCGTGCCAGCAGCCATCTCTGTAAGGGAAGATTAGTGAAAGTGTCATTTACGATTGATGCAGTTTTGGTAAACTCCAGGCCCCTGGAATTCAGTAGCATCATTGTATAATCGGGGAAATCTTGGTCGGATTAGCCTTTTGTACATGTAATGTGTTCAAGGTAGCAATGAGTGCTTCAGCACTTCTAAAATTTCTGATAATCAAACATTGCATATCAAATTGTTTCTTTTTCAACAGTCAATGCTGCCCTTGACATCTTGTAATTATAATAATATTAATAATATTAATATTAATATTATTACGATTACCCAAAGCAAAATATTATCAATGAAAATCTTGTAATTACCCAGCAAGATCTGCTCCGCGTTTTGATTCCAATTAAAATATTTATAAGCTAAAATAAAAGACACCTCATACATATCAATACAAATAAAAAAAAAGTACCTCTGGCTAGTTATTAACACGTTTTCTTTAGGAGACCCAAACCAAACCAAACAACAACACTCACGTTTTGTCACCTTGGACTCTGTTAAAAAATAAATTGTTTTTTGTTTTTCCAAAAAAAATCAATTTGCGTCTGTCCTACCAAAAAAAAAACCATAGGATTAGCCAACAGAAAAAAATTCAAGTTGCTTATAAAAATGCGGCAGCCTCCTCCAAAACGAACTCTAACTCCAACCTTATAGCTAAAGAAATTAGCAATTACAGTAGTGAAATGACCACTTGGGATATAATCAAACCCATAGTGAGTAGTTTTCACAATCATATTGTAATTATATCTAGGAAAATTGAGGCTAGCAGAATTAAGATAGCCAAAACTGAAGATAGAAATGGTTGGATTCTACCATTCAATAATAAATAATCAATGTGTACGTGTTGATCAAATCACAAACCTCTTTTTCTTTTTTGTAAAAATGCCAAAAGACGCAAAAGCAAGAAGTGGAAGAAGACAAGAAAATAATCGTGAAGAATTTGCTGGGTAAGTGTTTTAAGGATGGTGGTGGTTATCGCCCGCCACTCTAGTTATTATTTAAAAAATGGTGTTTGAGATCATTCTAGTTCTAGTTTATGATTATTATGAATTTTAATTTATTTAGGTTCAGTAGTTATGTATCTGTTGGTGGTAAAGACAATGATAAAAATGATGAATATGACCTTTTTTCATCTGAAACACAAATTAAAAGGAAATTGGGTACATATATATAAATTTTGGAGCATTTTAATATTACTTATATTAATTGATTCAGTTAATTTTATATTTTACATTGAATAGAATATGGTGAAGATGAATACTATTATGGTAATAATGATACACTGACAAATCATGATACTTCAGTATTGTCACAACTACTATCAAATCCAGCACATAATATATCAACATTGTCATCTATTATCACTAATGCTACTGATATCAATCCTGGTATCAATTACCAAAATATAGTTGAAGATAATACTGTTATGGTGAATTATATAACAAATTCTTTTTTATTAAAAATTGTTTTCTAATATACTTCAATGTCTATCAGCAAAACAAGGAAAGAAATGTGGATAATCGATATTATACTGATTGGGATTGTCTTAATACACATTGGAAATATTGCAAAGAAAATAAATTAACTTATAGTTTATTTGGATTTTTAATTTATGCTGTTGTAACATCATCAGTAAATATAGAGGATGATAATCTTGAATTTAATTTATACAATCTTTATAAACATGATCATAATGGTAAACAACCAATACAAAAGATGAGAGTTTTTTGTCAAAGTTTTGTTTTAATATTGATGTGATGTATCTAAAGGTCCTGAATGAATATTGAATGAAATATATGATCCAATTCAAAATTGGATACAATCATGACAGATGTAATTTCATTTCTTTTCAATCCCATGGTGTCGTCACTAACTATTATGAAATCAATATGATTTTTAAAGATGTTGCATATTTTGAAATGAAATATATTGATTTGTCTATTTGCTTGTTATTATTAGGATTTTGAAACTGAAAAAGGGAATATAGATGTTCAATTGTTTTGGGAGGTGGTAAAGAAAGCAAAATCAAATGAATATATTCTCTTTGCTATGTACATAGAAAGAATGGTTAAAAGGCTTGATTATGAAAATTTGTTACTGAAATATCAAAGCAGTGAAATTGGTGAAATTGAGATGTCAATTGGTGTATTAAAAAAGGTGATTTCTCATATATTTAAATTTATTTTTAATTTATATTTGTTTTACTCATTTTATATGGAAATATCTTTTTAATATTTAACAGATTAGTGATAAAAATTACCATTAATTGTGAAAGAAATTGTTTCAATGATCCAAGGAAGTTCATTAAGAAACATTGATGAATTGTTTATTTCAGGAATTATTGATTTAACTCACATGCCCACAAAAATTAATGATCATTTAATTAAAGTTAACTTATTGGATGAATTGTTACTTGCTAATGAAAATATGGCAGAAATCCCATCAGACCTATTGGAATATGTAAAGAAATATATCTCTTCAAATCAAAGGTATGAAATCCCATCAGAATTAAATGAAAAAGAATTTGGATTGTATAGGGCTGCTAGAAAACTCTGTGAATCATTTATGGATTTAAAATTAAAAGAACAATATAAAAAAGATAATTATATTTATGAAAGTACTTGGAGTCATGGCACACTAGATAATGTTAAAAATTTTATTTTACATGACTTAAATGAATTATACTATCAATGGTAAGCAGCACAGACATATCACATATTAGTATTATACAAACATTGAATACAAGAATATGTGCAGAAACAAAATTTTGAAATTTTCAATTGGAAAATAATATATTAATCTTTCATATATTTGAGTCTTGGTTTGTTTACAAAAGATTTAAAGATTTCCATTAAAAAAATTCATCTTTTCAACAGTAAACAATAATTGAACCCTGAAATTCTTGGTAACACATATATTCACTTTGTCTGGTTTTGTTGCAGCATGTCCCATATAAAAGTCTTCATCTCTAATAAACTTCATGAATGTTCATTTGGAATTGTATTAAATATTTTAGTAATAGAAATTGAACGTTGCTTTATATTTACATACCTGTAGAATCTCTCTAAAAGTAATGATTTTTTTTGAATTCTGATAGGATAGGAAATTGCTACATTATATATAGGCTTTGCTTCTAATAAGACCCCATGGGTATTGATGACTGCTTGATGACAGAAGTTTAAACAATCATCTATACTTGGTTTTATATCTAGAAGTAAAATTTATTTAATAAATTTAATAGTAAAAAGGTTTTCTTTAATAAAATGAAAGTTACTATTTAAATTTCCTTGCTTCAAGTAAATGTCTATGTAAATTGACCTCTGCTTGATGACAGAAGTAGAAACTATATTGTTTTTTTCATTTTACATATAATTACATTATGTAAATATTTTTTTTGTTTATTGAAAACCCAGTTTATGTATACAAGTCTATTTTTATAATTTTGAGGTGATAAATGTGATAAATAGAACTTCCATCATGCTTATTAACCTAGAGTGGGTTATATGGGCAAGAGCCCCCATTTAAAAAATAACAAGTCCAATTGGTCAAATAAAAATTAAAGAAACAGAAAATTTGGAAATGATTAATTTATAATGTACCAAACAAAATCCGAACCATTTTATTTTACAGCCTTCCTCCTAACATCAGAGCCCAAATGCAATTTCAGGGCCACCAACCCTGCTCTGAATTGCAACCTCCCTGTGCTTGGAACAAGTTGCAAACTCTCATTGCTTTGATGTTTATGCGCACTTAATATCACAACTCATCAAAATGCTGCAGAATTGTGACTTGATCACAGAGCCATCCTTATACTTATAGATTATGATAGAAATGAAATTATTGATAAATTAATAAACACTTGCAAAAAATTCAATCATTAGGAATATATTGTCATAGATGTCATAGATATAACAACAAATTTGAAGAGAGTCTAGCTCAATTAATTAAAGCCCAAGATCAAATAAAGAAATTAACTGTTCGTTCATGCTTATATAAAGGTGGTTGGCTTCTTTGATGGTTAATATGAAATGTTATTTTTAATAATGAAATCTTGATCCTCCCTCCACCAATAAACAATTCATTTGTCATCAGGATACTTTTAACAAAATGTATTTTTCCATAAAGTTGCAATGCTTACGTTGTGTCAATGTTTATTAACTAGAATGCAATAATAAAGCCATTTAAATCTTTCTATGAAAAGAAGCTATTATTATATATATATATATCACATGTCTCATGTAAATCATAATAAATAAATGTGTTACACGCGATTTTGACGTAGATCTTTTTGTTATTGTTTTTACTAATGTGGCCAAGGTTTTATGTGTCAATTGAAAATGGACCAATATTTGTCAGGCGGGGGCCATGCATATAAATCGATTTACATGTATAATTGATCCTTAAAGAAGTTTCTTTTAAACGACACAGGGGAGCCATCACAAAAATCTTAGAAGACGGTTATATGGCAAAAAAAAATCGAAATATAAATAATAATATACGCATTTAGTAATAGATCAGACCAATTGCATTAAATTATTATTGTTGTTATTATTATTATGTAGGTTACCAGGACAAAGGACCAAACTCTATCAAAAAAAGTAAACAAAAAATTTAACTAATGGTAGCTCCATGAATCTCAATAACGGTGATAACAATAAAATCTGACCTCATTCTTGAGAGTAATTTAAATATGAATTTTGGTATTGAATTTATATCGTCGTCAGTCAGCGTCATTGTCAACCGGTAGCGATGCTGAAGGACCCATGTCATTACTGTTCAGCGGTGGTGCTAAAAAAACAGCATTAGTGCAACGCACAGAAAGAGTTTCCCGCATCAAGATTTGACAATGACAAGCACGAAGAATGCACTCGTGGTACTCAATACAGAGGCTGATATGCTAGATAGAAGTATAGAGTGGGCAAACAAAATGTCATGTTCTGATGCTGTCAGAGTCTGATTTTCACGTCAAGTTGTTAACATTTTTGACGATGGTAAATTGAGAGCATTCTAAATACTTAATAGACAAAGTCGAACTTGAGGCATTATGAAAATGTTGATTTAATTTCATGATCTCAGAACATATACTGGTGATAGCTTCATCGAAAGACTGTTGTAAAAAAAAAAGGATTCAGCGTGAATAAAACTGATGTTTTGATATTTGGAGGTTTGTTTAAAGAAATTAGAGGTTGATGGGTATTCAAAGATTTTCTAATCCTGGCATTGTCATGAATTTGATTTGTTGAAAAACTAGGAAGTAATATCAAAAATTCCAAATATCTCTCTATAATAACATTTGCCCATTCTGAACTCGTCCAAAATCAACAGCATACAAGGCCGGCCAACAAGTAATTAAAATATTTAAAAATAAAATATTATAATCGTCATCGCTATCATTTCTAGTGCTTTTTATAAAAATTGTAGAGAAAATATGGAAAAGAATTAGTTTGAATGTTAATGTGGGGAGTATTCACCATTTGATTGATGGGATATGCGAACCACAGAAATAAATTCCTGACAATGCTGATCACCAACCATTGGTGATAATTTAATTATTATTATTATTATTATGAAATTAATAAAACTGAAATTCAAAAAAACCCCATTTTAGGTTTGAAAGTCATCAAAGTTATATATCACATATTTATTTATATAATAATACCAATACTATTACTATAAATAAATAAGGAAATCAGGACTTTTTTTTTCAAAGCCAATTCAATCCGAAAATTAGAATACAGTTAAAATATATACAATAGTATAATATAAAAATAAATACATAAAAATATAAAAATAAAATTTTTTTAAAAATAAAAAATTGACAATCTTGTTCAGTGAAACCATAACTACCATATCGTTCATTTTTTTTCAAAAAGCTTTTTTTCATCCATCAATTATTTGTTTGTGTGGTATAAATAATGTCTTAAAGAGATAAAGTCAAACCAAAGTTACAAATTATGTATTTTGATTCAATTATTGGTTTAATTTTTAATTTTATTATTATTACACTAAAATATAATAATTATTAATTATTATTTAATATTTATAACAATTTCTTATTATAATAATCAATCAATTATACTTGCTATTGAAAAAAAAAACCTCCTTATTTTATATTCCAGAATTGCACTCTTTTTACTCTTTTCTTCTTTCCCTTCCTCTTAATAATTAATAATAACAACGATACCATAGTTAAAAACTAATATTTTTTTAAAGTTAAAAAAAAAAATAGTAATTAATTTTAGTCACCAATAACTTTTTTAAAAATATATATATATATAAGTAAATAAATAAATAAATAAATAAATAAATAAAAAAGACTAAAATTTCTTTCCCCTTTTAAAAAAATATTATATTTTTTTTTTGGCATTATTAAATCACATATACACACGCAAATCATAAATCATTAAAACTAGAATAAAGCATCTCTTATAATAACTGTTATTTACTTTCAAAATAAAATGCATGTAAACAACCAACCAAACATTAATCCGCCTCCTCACCATCATAATCATCACAACAATAATACTCACCATAATCACAATCATCACCACCATCGCAATAATCAGCATCATCTTCAACATCTTCAACACCTTCAACAGTCAGCGCGTAACCGTCCTGTATCGACTCCAGTACCAATGAACTACTCCAACTCCAGATATCCTGACATACATCCACCTCCACCAATACCTCATCATAATTCTTCAAGAAGAGGAAACATGTTTGGCTCATATCTACTATTACAAACTTTAGGTGAAGGTGAATTTGGTAAAGTAAAGCTTGGGGTGCATGTTGATACTGGCGAAGAAGTAAGATCAAATTAATATAATATCACAGTTTTTGAAATTTATTTTAAAAAAAAATTTTTTTTTTTTTCTTAATCTCTTAAAAAAAAAAAAAAGGTCGCCATTAAACTTATACGTAAAGAATCAGTAGATACTCCTTCTCGACTTACAAAAATTGAAAGAGAAATCGGAGTTTTACGGGTAAAGGATCAACATTTATTTGTTTTGTTATTATACTTGTATAAATATAATAATAATTTTACTATCGATTTTTGATTTGGTATAGAGCGTGATGCATCCAAATATAGTAAAGCTTTATGATGTTTTTGAGACAGATCGATATATCGGTATAATTATGGAATATGCGTCTGGTAGTTAAATTAATCACAGTATTGATATTATTGAATTTATCATTCATTTTGTATAAATTTAATATTTATTTATTTATTATTTAGGTGGAGAGCTTTTTGATCATATATTGGTGCACCGTTATCTCAAAGAACGTGATGCCTGTCGTTTATTTTCACAATTAATTAGTGGTGTCAATTATTTACATCAAAAAAATATCGTACATCGCGATTTAAAATTGGTACGATTTATTTCAAACATACATATTATCGCCATTATTATTAGAAATAGTTTATTAATGTAAATATAAATATATAAATATATATATATATATACAGGAGAATTTATTATTGGATCGTAATAGAAACATTATCATTACTGATTTTGGATTTGCAAACAAATTTAATGGATCAAATGATGATTTGATGGCTACATCTTGTGGCAGTCCATGTTATGCTGCTCCAGAATTGGTTATTAGTGAAGGACTTTATGTTGGAAGTGCTGTGGATATTTGGAGTTGTGGTGTTATTCTGGTAATAATTATCATTATTATATTAATTATGATTATGATATTCATCATCATATTATTAATAATTAACACCACCACCGTTATTTCATTATTATTTAGTATGCAATGTTATCAGGTTATCTTCCATTCGATGATGATCCTTCGAATCCTGACGGTGATAACATCAACCTACTTTACAAATACATAATCAATACACCACTAGTATTTCCTGATTATGTAAGTTCTGACGCAAAAGATTTATTAAGAAAAATGTTGGTTCCCGATCCTACAAGAAGATGCGATATGAAAACAATCATGTCTCATAGGTAATCAATAAATGAATGAGCAAATAAATAATAATTTTGATTTAACGGTTAGTTATAATAATTAAATTTATCTTTTTTTTTAAAATAAATAGATGGCTTTTACCTTGTTCTTCAATATTTGAACGTAGTATTAGAGAACTTGAGGTAATATATTTTTATAATTTTTTGTTCTTAAAATAATCATGTGCTTATCCTTTGATAAAATTCTTTCTATTCACAAATAAATAAAAAAATAAAAAATTATTAGGCAGCTGCAAATCCTCTACACTCCTTATCACCTCCACAATCACATTTGAAACCTGGAATTTCTGTACACAATGTCAACACTAACAAAAAACAAAAGAATAATAATTATTTAACAACTGAATATATAGCTGATCAAAGTAATAATAATAATAACGGATTGAGTCCGCCACTCACAGTTAAAAGACATACGATTCAAGTAGAATACGATTATCCTGACAATGACAATAACACCATCAATAATTTGAATGATAATGACAATTTCGTAATGAGTGAAATTGAAAATGGTATGAAATTTGTTGATTACCCTGACGAAGATTTCTTATTTGTTGATGGAACTCGTCTAGGTTCAACAATTCCTTCTGCAACTTCTGATTCAGTAGTTGACGGGATAGAAAACCAAATAAAAAATGATACGTTAATACCTATCAATGACAATAACAACATTAATGGCAACGACAACAACAATGATAATGAAATAATCAATAATTCTGATAATACTTTAGATAAACATCATAGTATTTCTTCTACAGCTTCTGCTACATCTTGTAAAAGTAGTGAAACAATGGCTACTAACACTCCACCAGGTACTCCATCTACAACTACCAGAAATTCAGCAAATGCAGGCTCAGGTCTATTCACCTTGTTTGAAAGTGATTCAATCACCAAAAACAATAATAATATTGATAAAATTAACGGCGACGATGATGAGAAAATCAACGATAGCAATGATACTGAAGAAATCATCAAGGTAAATGATGATAACAATAACAATAATAACAACGATGACGGTTTTGTACTGCCTCAAGAACAAATACAACAAAATGATCATTTATTAAAACCATCAGACCAGAATGATGCTCAGCACTTGGCACAACAACCTAATAATACGATTACGCTTGTTGTTCCAGGAGAAATAGAATCACACAAAAATTCATCTTACGCACCTAAACAACGTGATAATTCACGTACAAGACCCGTCACTGTACATGGACCATTATCGTCATTATCATCATCATCACCAACATCATCTACTGCTGCCGTCTTTAATAACAATAATGATTCTTCTCTTTTATCTACTATCGATTCAAAGAAAGATAACACTATTAATACTTCTAATAATAATAATTCATCATCGTCGTCGTCATCTAATAACAATACCAACAACAACAACATCATAAATTCAACTTCTAAAACAATAACACCATCAGCAGCAGCAACAAAATCCTCACCTTCACCTCAAAAGAAATCCTCACAATCACATAAGAGAGCTTTATCTACAGAAATAGTATACAAGCTTTTAGGAAATAGTAAATCAAATAGTCTAACATCTGATTTCAATATTAACAAAGCCAATAAATCCACATCATCACCATCAGCAGCAACGACAATTAAAACATCCGATCAATCACAAAAATTGCATCTAAATAATAACAACAACAACAATAATAATAATAACGATACGAATTCATCAGATACAGCATCAGAATCAACAAGCTATCTTGATGAACTTAATGTAATAGATTCTAGGAGTAAAAGGCACGACGGAAAGAGAAAAGCTTTAAGTTTGATGGTTGATTCGTTTAAAAGTCCTTCCGGTCAACCAAATCTTAGTGTTTTATCTAATAACACCACTTTGACAACAAAAGAGAAAAGAAAAACTATTTCAGCTACATCATCTGGTAGTTCAAATGCTGCCAAGAAAGTCATGGATTGGTTTAGAAGAAAATCTTTGGGTAATTATTTATTTACATTTATATTTATATTTTATATTTTTATATTTTTTATATTTACATTACATTATATAAATTTTCTTTCCAGCTAAACAAGACATTCCTATTACAATTGATAATGACAATGTTGAACAAGCTGCAGCTTCAACTCCTGATTTAACATCAAATAATAACAATGGTCGTTCGTCAAAAAACAACATATTTAAAAAACCAAAAAGTAACAACAACAATCCTTCGGTAATTGTCACTCAACCAAATAGCATTGCAAATTCATCATCATCATCTAGACAATCCACAATGACGTCTATAAATCTAAACGTGGATGCAAAACTTCGTGTACATAATGGCGCTTTAGATCAGCTAGCATTGACGGAGCGACCACCTTATGAAGTATTTATAGTTGTTAAACAAACCTTGCTTAGTATGGGTATTGAGATTAGACGTGAAGGCGAATTCAAGGTAAAATGCCTTAGGCGTAAACGTAAAGGAGGTGTACCTATTGATAATAATTTCTATTCCAATAACGACAATAACGGTAATAAGGGTACCTCACAAGTTTCAGAATCAACAGAATCATTAGATGTTAACACAGAAAAGAAACGTAAAAAATATTCTTCAACGCCTTTTAAAACCTTATTGCGGCGTACAAGTTCCAATAATACGAATCAATTGGCATCTTTACATCCTATAATAACAACGCCTTCTTCGCAGCAACAGCAGCAGCAACAACAAAATAAGTCTGAATATCTTTCACCCCAAACACCTGATAGTTCAAGTTTACAACAACAACAACAATCTCTACCAGTGTCAACTAGTAAAAATAATAACAATACAATTGATAATAATGATAATAATAATAGTGATGGCGATGGTACTACACCTACTACATCTGTTGTTACTAACAAAATCTTATTGTCGTCGTCATCATATAACAACAATTATCCTATGATAACACCTGAAGTTATTTATGGAGACCCAACTGTAGATTCAGGTGAAGAAGTTAGATTTTCTGTGGAGTTGTGTCGAATCAAAAATTTACCTGGATTGTATATTGTTGACATAAAAAGATTGAAGGGTAATCGTTGGAGTTATAAATTCTTGTATCACACACTTTTGGACAGATTAGATCTTAAGGGGCAAAGTGGTTATTTAACTATTGGTACAAGTGGTGGTCTGATTTATTGATTCCTTGAAATTTTGAATAATTAATTTATATTTTTTTTAATTTCATTTTAAATAATAATAATATATAAAAACTGATATTATTTTTTTTGGTTTTATTTAAAACATTGACAATTTTAATTTTTTTTAATTTTTTTTTTAAATTATTTATAATTTTTTTTTTTATTTTTATTATTAATAATAATATTACTACTAATACTATTATTATTATTATTTAATTCTATTATTATTACCTACCTACCTACCATACTTACCTACTTACCTAATATAATATCATTCTCTTTTTTAATTTTTTTTTTTTTTGAATGGACAGTTAATGAGAGTTAAAAATTTTTTTGTGTTTGTGTTGATTATTATTTTTGAATAATAATAATAATAATAATAATAATAATAATAATAGGATTGAATTTTTTTTTTAAAAAAAATCATCTGTTATTAATCCTCCACTTAATGAATCTATAAAAAAATAAAAAAAATATATGTAATCTTTGATTTTCACAAAGTGTGTTATGACTACCTAAAAGACATTGGAAAAATCAAAAAAGAATCTGAAATAATTTTAGATTAATAATATTAGTTATTTTTTTTTATTTCAAACAATTATTACCAATAAATAAATAAATAAATAAATAATATTTTTAATCAAATAATAAATCGATAATGATAATCTTCTTATATATTCAAATCATCATCGGGATCATCTTCATCAAAATCATCAGCTTCATCAGGATGATAAATTATATTACCACCTCCAGTAGTAATGAAATTAGAACTACTATCAGTAGCTGTAAATATAATTAAAATTATTTTTATCAATAGTAAATAAATAAAATAATAATAGCAATTTATAATATTTGATTGGTTTGTTAATTTGTTTACTTTGAACTTTAAGATATGGAAGAACTACATTTTCTTTTGCTTTCTTTTGTTTCTCAGTTAATGATAGATCAAATGATAAATTTGCAATAATCTTTTGATCAGCCTATTTTTCCACACAATTTAATAATTAATGGTTGAGCATAATAAAGTTGATGAGTGAAACTAAACATATGATAAAAATGATCTTTCTTACTGTGTTTGTATCCTGAAAATCCTCTTCATTCTTAATTTCTTTCCATGCCTTTATTATCAATTCATCCTTTGACTCATCCATTTGATATTCATTGATCTTCCAAATTGGCAATTAATAAATAACTGATTATTATCTTAAATTATCATCAACCCTTAAATAAACTTTACCTCATAAATTATTTTTCCTGAATATTTTTTATGTTGTATGCTACATATTCCATTGTAAGGACAATTCATATATGATGATATTATATGTCCTAACGATGATGTTGATGGCGATGAATCTTTGATGAATTGTTTTTTATTTTTAACTGTTATCAAAGTTGTAGCTAAAAAATTAGCAATAGTTTCTCTAATATTTAATAAATCAGATGCGTTATTATTATTATTATTAGTGTAGGATTTTAGAGATGGAATATCTGAATGATAAGTTATTATTATTCTACTATTATTACTACTACTATTATTATTATTATTGAAGGTGGTGTTAGATGAGGATTCTGTATCGGATAAGGAGAATTCAGGGAAAATTAATTTATGAATTTTTTAAAAAAGAATATATATATATATATATATATATATATATATATATAAATAAAAAGATAAATAAATAATATTTACCTTGTAAATCATTAGATAATTTTCTTAAAAAAGAAATAGTAGAAGAATTTGATGATGATATAAGTAAAGGATTGATCGAATCAATTATTATAGAATATTGGGATGATTTCGATACTATTGAAATATCTTGATTTGTTAGTTCAAAAATAAAGATTATTAGCCTCTGATATATTTGATACTTACGATTTGATAAAGTATCTTTGATGATATTTGTCAATAATGATAAATTTTCAAGATTATTAACAAATTGAATATTCTTAATATTTTCCTCGCCCTTGGGTGAATTGATGATAGGTTTGTCTAAAATTACATTTTCATCTTCATATGAAGCAATCTGAGTGTAAGCATCGATAATTATGATGCTATTTAATAATATTTAAATAATAAATGTGAAAAAAAATTTTTCTAACCAAGAAACCAGAATGTATGAACATTTGGAAACTTACTTTTTACGTGTTTTAATATGCTCTAGAATGTTCCGAGGAGAGTATTCTAAGCACACTAAAACTAACGAATGTTCACTACAAAAAGAAATAAAATATTATTATAATTTTATTATTAATTGTTATATTAAAAAAAAGGTTTCTAACGGTTTTTTGGTAAGTCTTTTAATAAATTCCAGTAATAATGCATATCCAGATTGTAAGATTGTATCTTCGATGACGATAAGGTTAGAATATTCTTTGCAATTAAGAATACGATTTAGAAGGAGGGTCGACATTTTCGTAATTTTTTTGGGAGAAAATTCACTGATAATAGGATCAACAAAATGCGGATCATCTATTACTATTACTATTACTATACACAGTGAGTCTTGGTATAGCGGATAATTTGGGCAATTATAGTCGCATGACATTTCCCGCCGATCTATAGGAGGTTGTAAAACATAGTAAAATTTGGATGATCTGCATCATAGTAA